AAAATCCGACCGACCGACCCAATTTTCAGATTCCATGTAATGCAAAACGAAAAATTAACTTTGCGTGGCCTTATATTTGGGTATCTTAGTAAATTTTTTTTTTATTAGCATTTTTATATTAGTATATATTAGCTTTATTTTAAATATTAGATCATAATATTTAATATTGTTATATTTTTTAAAAATATATGCTTACTCTTCAACAAAATTTTAGTTCAAAAAAATTTGCAATCTCTAAAAAAAAAAAAAAACGAAACTTACTTTATAATTTTTATTAGCATATTTCAAATATAAGATTTATAATATCTATTTTGTTAGCATTATTTTAAATATAACCTATTTAGTGATTAGCTGTTTTCAAATATAACCTTTTTACTCAATACCTACTTTTCAAATATAACCTTTTTTAAAAAAAGGGCCTATATTATCAATTTTTCAAATATGACCTCTATTAGTATTGTTCGGGGTCCTCTCGGACCACGCCTCGATCGTTTCCTTACCACTATTAGGGTTTGGTTTTATTAGTTGTGGTGTTCTGGTTAGAGTAGTTTAGTTAGTTTTAGTAGTGTATAGTTGCATTATTTGGACCAAGTGCCTAAATTGCACTTTTACAACGTACGTACGTATACGTCCTAGCATTTGTAGTCGATCAATATTTATCAACTTGACTAAGTCGTTAAGTTGATATTTAAAACCGAAGTCGATCATTTTTGTTTAGTTTTTGGAAAATTTTGTCTCGTTTTTTATGTTTATTAAATTTCTTTTTGGAATTTTTGGGAAGGATACCAAATCGGTCTAAATTTGATTGGTCACTACTTTTTAATATAGTCTAAGACTAAGCCGATTTTTTGAAAAATCGACTGACTAAGCCGGCTAAGCTGATAAAATCGACTACAACACTAGGTGCTACCTTAGATATCTAAAGCGGCCACTTCACATATGTGCGTAGATAACGCATAAATTTAAATTTTGTTTTATCAAACATAGAACCTGTTATAACTAGATTATGATTTTTAATTGCGTACGTGACAAATGTGGATAGCTTTGCTGCCCGGTATTAACGTAACACGATCAAAAAAATTCAAAACATTAGTTTTGTCAAAAATCGCTTATAACTCAAAAATTTGCATAGGAAACCACTTTTCGCATATTAATAAAAATTTTCTTTGAATGATTTTATTATTAGAACACTAAAATTATAACCTTGACATAGACCCTAACACTACGTAAACGAACTTAAAGTTTTTTTGACGTCCGTAAATTTTGGGGGAAGACGTGTTGGTTGATCAGGAGAAACCAATTAAAATGCTTGATAATCATATTTCTAGTGAAAGAAATCAAGGATAAATCCACGCGGCTATCCCAAAAACAATTTGAATTCGTAATTGTTGCGATTGTGGAGGCCTTTTAAAATTAAACTCATGTTTTTGTTGATTTATTTAGAAATAAAATTAAATTTCTCCCGCCTTATTAAATATTCTTCTGTGTTGCTTTAAATTTTGTTTAATTTTGTGTATTGTTTCAGTACCAGGAGCTTAATAAACGAAGCGTATAATTTACTGATATGATTATGTTACACAGGTTTTAGTAGCATGTTTTATTTAATCTCAAATAATCGAAAAAGAATTTGTCATTCACGAAATGAGTGTCGCTAAAAGAAAACCGAAAATTTAACTATGACTTATATTTAAATTTTCGGGTTTTCTTTTAGCAACACTCAAATATTGCCATTGTAAATGAAAAATCTTAAATGATTGTTAAAACTGATTAGCCATACAGGAAATATCGACATTAAACTACCAAAATAATCGCTTAGTTGTACAAACTTCAGGCAATAATTTGCACTGTTTAAATGATCATATTTTGAGAACGGCTTATCCATTTTTTTTTTAATCTTAAAGGTGAGGCCATGCCTCTAACTTTATTGAAATGGCTTATCCATTTTTAATGGTCTTGGGTTTAAATAAATCTTACGGTTCGTAGTATTTGTTTAAGCACAAAATCAATGAAATTGAATTAGCCGTTCTTGATTGTGAAAGGTAAAATGCTCCGAATATAGCCGCGATACTATAAATTTTTAATAAAACTTCTATAACAAAGGCCATAAAAACATCAATAATTATAAATTTTGGGCTTTTATCAAATTTTGAATTTCTAATTTTTTAAATAATATCACCCAAATACATGCTTATAAGCTCTGGATCTAACGCATAAATGATAATTGAGAATTAAAAACCATCCATAATAAAACAGTATTTTTTTTTAGTATTTTTAAATCACACCAGTGGGTTAAATAGCACAGTGACTATAACTCAAAAACTGTTAAATAACCTGCATTAAGTAAAAATGTCATGTATCCAAGAAAACATCTTACTTTAATATCTTACAATTCTAATATTTAGTTAATAATTTATAATTTTATCCACTAATCTTAAATATCGGCACAAAATTACTTTAAAAATTATATGGTGTTGAATCCCACCGGTGTGATTTATAATTACTGTAATAAAATATAGAAATTTTTAGCGTGCATACATACCTACTATGTTACCTGACTCAATTTCTGCATTAAATCGTTTAGAAATTTCATTAACATCAATAAGTTGACTTGTATATGCGGTGTCTAAATTTTGTTGTGTAGTTATTGGTTGTTGTTGAATTATGTCGTCAGCTTCCCAAAATTTATTACATATCTCTGATTTCTCATCAAATTCGTCAGATTCATAAAACTCATCAAGTTCATCAACCTCATCCTGATCATCTTCATCCTGTTCATTCAAAATGTCATACCATTTTTTGAATTGATCAAAAATACCTCTTGCGGTAGGCCGCTTCTGAGGGTTTGGATGCATACATAATTGTGCTAATTGGATATAACAATTGGGTGTTCCTGGTGCAAATTCTGGTCTTAATCCACTACAAATTTTTATCGCTAAATCATTATCAAATAAATAACCATCAAATGGTGGAATTCCAGTAGTTATTTCTGCCATAACTATCCCAAATCCATATATATCAGCTGCTTGTGTATATCGTTTGCCTAATAAAATCTCTGGTGCAATATAAGGCAAAACCCCACAAATTCCCTTTTTTAATGTAGATCCTTTATTATTTCGAGACGATCCCAAATCTGCAATATAAGTTTTTAATGCTTCAAGCCATGATGATTTCTCTTTATGTAGCAAAATATTACCACTATGAAAATCACAATGAATATATTCTGCTTCATGGATTTGAATTAAATCTTTTGATATATCAATCAGTTGTAATAATTTATCTTTCCATACAAGGTTTTTAAAATTTATTCTCAAATAATGACGAAGATTTCCACTATTTGCATACTGAAATACCATTAAAAATTGATTTGTAATATTATTCCGAGTTAGCCCATATATCTCAAGTCTACTGCCTGTTAACCTACATTTCATATGATTTTTAAACTTTTAAACAAGAAAAAAAAAATTAACGTATAAATATATTATATATGATAAGTTAATCACTGATAAAATAACCTACTTCTTGTAAAAAATCATTTGGATTTGTTTGAGAACCTGGTAAAGTTTTAAGAGCCACTAAGCTCGATTCTGTACGTGATTGTTTATATTTCTCTTCATCATAAATAATTTTTCGTTTACCATCTAACCAGGTTGCTGAAAATACAGATCCATATCCTCCTTTAGCAATCTCTTTAACATTATTTAGTCGGTCGAAAGGAATCCACTCAATTACTTTATCATATTCTGTAGCTTCAAATTGAAATTCTTTAATACAACTATCAATATCCTTATTTTCACTCGTCCATCCTTCAGCCGCTTTCCTAGGATCACATGATTGACACCAAGCCTTTGAAGTATTAATGCGTTTGCAATCCATACATATGCCATAATTAGAATTTCTCCTAAATATCTCAAATACTACCATATAATCATTAGTGGTTGAATTCTGTGTTATTCCATATATTTGAATTTCATTTCTTTTTAGTTGAATATAATTTTCAAGCTTACAAATAATTAACATTAATAAATATGTTCAGAAAATCAATAATGAAAATAATTACAGAACCTACTTCTTTTAAGAAGTCATCAGAATCAATTAGTGTATCAGGAAAAGTCTTAAGCGTTACCAAATATGACGATGTACGCGATTGTGTGCACCTTTCACCAGTGCGCGTAATTGTTCGTACTCCATCCAGCCAAATTGCTAAAAATTCTGAGTCAGACTTTTTCTTACTAATATTCAATCTGTTAAAAGGAATCCATTCAATAACATCCTCATATTTGGTGGCTTCAAACTGATTTTTTTTTATATATTTATCAATGGCCTCATTTCCGCTTATCGACGCCTGCAATGCTTTTATGGGATCACATGTTCGACACCATGCTGGGGAAGTATTATATTGTTTGCAATATGTGCATCGCCCATTATCCAATGTTCTGTTATAAAACTCATCAAATACAATCATATATTCATTTGTGGATGTGTCTTGAGTAAATCCAAGTAATTTACAATCATTATTTGAACGTGCATGTTGATTAACCTTAAAATAAATATGGACTTATGTAAATGTATAATAAAATAACAATGTTACATGCATTAAATACCAATTTAAACTTACTTCCTTAAAAAAATTAACAGAGCTTATTTGTGAGCTATGTAAAGTCTCGAGTATAACCATATATGGTGGTGTGCGTTTTCCATCATCTTTTAATCGTATGCCATCTAACCAGACTGCTGAAAATTTTGAGCATAAATCCTCTTCATTAATCTTATGTATATGTTTTAATTTATTGAAAGGTATCCATTCAATAACTTCTTCATATTTGGCAGCTTCATGATGAAGTTCTTTAATGCAATTATCGATATTGTCATTTCCACTCGTCCAACCTTGTGTTGTTCTTAGGGGATCGCACGTTTGACACCACGCTGGAGAAGTGTTATAATTCTTACATTGTGTGCATTGCCCATTATCAGGAGATCTTTTATGATAAAATTCATCAAATACTATCATATATTCATTGGTTATGTTTCGAGTAAATCCAAATATTTTACAACCATTAGTTGACTGTACAAAATTTTCAACCTTACAATAAATATAATAGAATTTATGTAAATGTATAAGTTATTAATCAGTTGTGCGCGTTAAAATAATAACTTACATCCTTTAAAAAATCAACAGAACTTATTCGTGAGCCGGGAAAAATCATAAGTGTAACAGTGCTTGGTGATCTACGCGATTGTATATATTCTCCAGAATTTCCAGAAACTAATCGTATGCCATCAACCCAAACAGCTAAAAATTTTATGTTTGAGATCTTCTTTATGCTTTTTAATTTATTGAATGGAATCCATTCAATAGTTTCATCATATCTTATAGTTTCAAATTGAAGTTTTTTAATATAATCATCGATATCCTTATCGCCACTTGTCCACCCATGTATTAATCTTAAGGGATCACATGGATGGCACCAGGCTGGAGAAGTATTAAATTTATTGCATTGTGTGCATTGTCCATAATTAAAATATCTTTTATAATCAAATACTATCATATATTCATTGGATGTATTTTGAGTAATTCCAAATAATATACAATTATTTAAACATACATATTGGTAAACCTTAAAATATGATAAACTAATATAAATATATAAACAGTAATAAGGCTATTTATGCTAAAAAATAGTGACTTACATTCTTTAAAAAATCAACAGGACTGATTGGCGAGCCAGAAAATGTCATAAGCGTAACAGCACTTGATGGTCTACGTGATTGTACATATTCTCCAGGATTTCCAGAAATTAATCGTATGCCATCAATCCAAACAGCCAAAAATTTTATATTTGAGGTCTTATTTTCGATTTTTAATTTACAAAATGGAATCCATTCAATAGTTTCATCATATCTCATAGCTTCAGATTGATGTCTTCTAATGTAATCATCGATATTCTTATTTCCACTCGTCCACCCTTGTAATGTTCTTAGAGTATCACATGGTTGACACCAGGCTGGATTAATATTATACTTATTACATTGTGAGCATAGTCCATTAGTAAACGATCTTCTATAATAAAACTCATCAAATACAATCATATATTCATTGAATGTATTTTGAGTAAGTCCAAATATTTTACAACTATTGCTTGACTGTATATATTTTTCAATCTTAAAGAAAAAATACAATAAAATTTATGTAAATACATAATTAGCTAATAAGACTATACATTAAAATACTAACTTACATCCTTTAAAAAATTAGAACTTATTTGTGAACTTGGAAAGGTCATAAGTGTAACAGTACTCAATGGTATACGCGATTGTATATATTCTTCACGTTTTCCAGAAACTAATCGTATGCCATCAATCCAAACAGCTGAAAACTTTATATTTGAAATCTTCCGTATGTTTTTTAATTTGTCAAAAGGAATCCATTCAATCGTTTCATCATATTTAGTAGCATTGAGTTGATGTTTTTTAATATAATCATCAATATCATTATTTCCGCTTGTCCAATCTTGCAATGTTCTTAGAGGATCACAAGGGTAGCACCATGCTGGAGAAGTATTATATTCATTGCATTGTATGCATTGTCCATTATTAAAAGATCTTTCATGATAAAAATCATCACATACGATCATATATTCATTGGATGAATTTTGAGTAAGTCCAAATAATTTACATTTTTCATTCGAACGTAAATATTGATTCACCTTAGAAATAAGACATAATAAGCATTATTAAACTTATATTAATTGGTTAATAATGATATACATTAAATACTAAAACTTACATTCTTTAAATATACAGCAGGAATTTTTTGTGAACTGGAAAAAGTTATTAGTGTGACAACACTAGATGGTCTACGTGATTGTATATATTTTCCAGGATTTCCAGAAATTATTCGTATGCCATCAATCCAAACTGCTAAAAATTTTGTATTTGAAATATTCTGTATGATTTGTAATTTATCAAAAGGAATCCATTCAATAGTTTCGTCATATCTAATAGCACTAATTTGACATCCCTCATCATCATAACTTTGATTATTACTAGGAATAAATTGATATCTTTTAATATAATCATCAATATCCTTATTTCCACTCGTCCAATCTTGTAATATTCTTAGAGGATCACAAGAGTAGCACCATGCTGGAGATGTATTATATTCATTGCATTGTGTGCATCGTCCATTATCAGAAGATCTTTCATAATAAAACTCATCGCATACAATCATATATTCGTTGGATGAATTTTGAGTAAGTCCAAATAATTTACATTCTTCATTCGAATCTAGATATTGTTTCACCTTAGAAATAAGACATAATAAGCATTATAAAACTTATATTAATTGTTAACAATGATATACTAGCACTAGCTTAAACTTACATCCATTAAAAATTCACCAGGATCTTTTTGTGAACCGGGAAAAGTCATAAGGATAACAGCACTTGATGGTCTACGTGATTGTATATATTTTCCAGGGTTTCCAGAAACTAATCGTATGCCATCAATCCAAACACCTAAAAACTTTGTGTTCGAGATCTCCTGTATGATTTTTAATTTATCAAAAGGAATCCATTCAATAGTTTTGTCATGTCCTATAGCATTAAGTTGATATCTTTTAATATAATCATCAATATCATTATTTCCACTCGTCCACTCTTGCAATGTTCTCAGAGGATCACAGGGGTAGCACCATGCTGGAGATGTATTATATTCATTGCATTGTGTGCATCGTCCATTATCAGAAGATCTTTCATTATAAAACTCATCGCATACGATCATATATTCATTGGATGAATTTTGAGTAAGCCCAAATAATCTACATTCGTCATTCGAACGTAAATATTGATTCACCTTAGAAATAAGACATAATAAGCATTATTAAACTTATATTAATTGGTTAATAATGATATACATTAAATACTAAAACTTACATTCTTTAAAAATCCAGCAGGAATTTTTCGTGAACTGGGAAAAGTTATTAGTGTGACAACACTAGATGGTCTACGTGATTGTATATATTTTCCAGGATTTCCAGAAACTAATCGTATGCCATCAATCCAAATACATAATAACTTTGTTTTCGAGATCTCCTGTATGATTTTTAATTTATTAAAAGGAATCCACTCAATAACTTCCTCATATTTGGTAGTATCAAACAGACGCTTTTTAATATAATTATTTATAATATGATTTCCACTTGTCCGCACTTGTCCTATTCTCTGGGGGTCGCACGTTTGGCACCAAGCAGGGGAAGTGTTATATTTATTACATTTTATACATTTCCCATAGCTTGAATTTTCCTTACTTTTTTTTGATTGGAAGTCTTTGAATGAATTCATTATTAGTCTAGCAAAAATACAAATTTCGAACTGTTACGTACGTACGTACGTACTATTTTAAATTGTGTTAAACATACTGTAGCGTAACGTTCCGCAGTTACAAAAATGGATTTTTAACCGAATTTACGGTTATAAATAGCATAGCGGGCTTTATTATGATTGGTTGATTTTGAAGATCATCTCATCATATTAAAGTCTTATTAAAGTAAC